TAACTGTAATAGATAATTAGATAATTTTAGCTTATACCATCCGTTATTAAACGCACATGCGAAAAACGTATTCTACGCTTGCGCAGACGCATATGCAAGTCGTAAAGGTCTTGCGCGCACGCGTAAATGCCTATGCGCATGCGTCAACGTGGCGCATGCGCAGAAAGATTTTAGCTTTGAGGTCCGGATTATGGATTATTCCGGATTATGGGTGTCCGAATTAACGACTTTTGACTGTAATGATTTTCCAGGTCCGTGTTAGGGATATAAAATACTAGTAGATGAATGTTCCGGTTTGAGATGTATGCCAAGCAGATACTCAACTACAGAGCCAAATTATTAATCTCACAAGTTTATGCTTACATGATTGTTTCTTCATAACAAAGTATTTTACTTAGTACCTAAGTGAAATTAAGAATTGGAATTTTTAAGTGAAAAATCTCCACGTTTTATTATGAAAGGGAAAATCAAATGCGAATGCGTAAAGTTTGTGGTTTTGAGGTCTGGATTTTAGATCATTCTGGATATTTGACGTCCAGATCTCGGACTTTGTACTTTATTTAATTTTCTAGTGTTGAGTAATAGCATGTTATATTTGTACAAGTGAAAATATATGGAGTAGGTGCACCTTTTGTATTTCTGTTGTGTTTCTTTTGAAAATGTTGTAAGGTATATTTTAATTTTATGACATCATTTTGCTTTCAAAGTGCTTTCCTATCATTTCTTGTTTCCACTTACAACTCCCTACTGGGATGAGTTTTTAGAATCGTTTTGAATGCAAATGAGTTAGAAGTAGTATTTAAGGAAGGTTCAACTACTTTGTGAGAGAGAGCTAGGAATCCTGCGTAGTGCGTGTTTGTCTTCAGACTAAATCTCTCTTGAAGCTGTTAGGCTTGGCCATATATTACATGCCTGTTGATATTCGCTGGCTAGTTTAAATTCAGGACCAAGTACATCAGATACTTGTGTTAGCTGTGGCTAAACCTCTTAGTTAGTTATAATTTAGTTCTTATTTCTTATTCTGAGTTTAAGCCCAAGTGGATGCCCGAAAAAGGGGTGAACTGTTCATCTTATTTGGAGTGAAATCAAAGATAGTTAACTCTTCTTGAATCTATGCCTTTAGTTATTTGAACTCAGCGATAAGTTGCTTAACAATTCACTATGTTCCTCAACATTTAGTTTAGCCAAAAAGGAACCCTACATTGTCTTATCCCCAAAAGTATAGTAGAGTGGCAGTCAAGCTTATGAGGTAGTGATTCTGATAGCTGATCGGTGCATTGTCATCAAGCGACTTCAAAGATTGCTTGTGTGTACTCCATAATGATCTAATGTGTGGGAACTACCTTTTCACACTGCTTCCATCTCCATATTATAAACTTAGGATTACTGCATCAATATAGTCTACTTTGTATTCTTTCATGTATCACAAGAATGCTTTTGTGAAGACAAAATATAACATTAAAATTTAAATTAAGTGAGTTTATAAAAATCATGAGAAAATTTTAAATATTTTCTCAATCTGCTGACAGTAGTTTTATAGCATATCTTAGATAGCTATGGGAACAGGTGAAAGTCAGCTAATCCTTCCTCTCATAAAGTGTATGCAAATTAAGCTTCTCTCACTCATTGCACACAAACCTGAGTATATTTGAATGGTGCATGTTTTCATAAGAGGCACATTGATGTTTCTTTTCATACATAATGCTAGATTAAAATATATTTGAAAATATTAATGCCCAATATGTTAGACTATTGCATAGGTACCCTCTAGTCTGTTAACTGCACACCACTGATGCCAGTATTTCCCTGCAATGTTTCAGAAACCTGTGAGGAAGCATAAATACTTTGGATCTATATATGCATTTCATATGCATAACAGAAAGACTCATAAAATCGTGATGGATATTTGCCTGGAAGATACAAGGCATTTTATTTCAATGGAGGCTATGTGAAATTGTTTATATTCACAACAGTGTTTAATCTCTTCTAGCCCAAATGTGCATTAGACCCAAAGGGCTATTAGTCTCAAAAATGGCATTTTGCATCCTCTCACTTTCTGCATTGGTTCACTTTTCAAACTGTTGCCACCAAAATATTATCACCATGTATTATATTTAAAGAAACTAAGTAATGAAGAATCTGCATGAATGTTTCTTGCATTGTGAAAAAAACAATGGTAACTAGAACCTTCAAATTTTGAATAATTATTTATTGGATATTTGATATATTGGATATTTAAATATGTGGATATTTAATAAATAAAAGTTTCACACAATCTTCAATAATTAAAAGTAAAGAACTTTCCAGAATTATCTACTTGAACATGTAAAAATTGTTGGTTCACTGTGATAGCAAACAGTTCAATAAAATTTTGTTAGTTTTCTGTATCGTATTTGAATAAATCAGCATTTTCAACAGTGTAAATGAAGAAATCTAAACAAATAGACTGATGCATATTCAAAAGGGTGTTGTCATGTGTTAAGTCGAATGCCAAACTTTGCATCAAGCTTAAACTTTACATCAAGCATATTGTTAAATTTTTTTATTCTTCTGACACCAGTTGTTATGTTATTTTCTTCCTTCACGCTTGTACGGGGTTCATAGATTTGGAGTGAATAATGATGACACTTGAGGAAGTATCGAAACACACTTTATTTACCAATATTAGTCAGATAGCTCCAAAATCACTTTTACAGTCGTCGAACTGTTATAAACACACTGACACGTTCAGCGACACAGCCTTCACACTGTCAGGCAATAATGGTGGAGACAGCTGCACTGCAAAGCACCTGAGTTACAGCACCGAGTGCAGCTTCCAACTCTGCTTGGTCTATCTCGAAGCTCCACTTACTCTCGAGGCTCTCCACGCTACAACTCGCAATGCAGTCGACGACACCTCAGCACAGCTCCTGACTCTTCGGTTCAGTCATTCCTGAAGCTCAGTACGCTCTCTCAACGATGCACTAACCGCGATACGCTAACAGACTTCTTCAGTGAACTCGATGACCCACTCGGCACTCGCTGCCCGGCTGTCAACTTGATCGACTCCGCACGGATTGACAAACTCGAGACTAACTTCTTTACTCTTCACGAGGCACTCTCTTAGACACTATCAGCTTGCTAGGCGAGACACACACTAACTGACTGCGGACCAGCAGGGTTTATATAGCTTTTGCCTTGTGTTCGAGAACATTCTGGGCTAAACTGGTAAGAATTCGTTCCAGAAAGTTCTACATCCATCCATGGCATATCACCAATTTTGTCGCCAAATGGACAATTTATCGCCAAATGTGACAACCCTGCCTTCCCTGTTTATTTATGGTAACCTTAAAACTGCTTTGCGATGAAGCCATCTTACTGCACCTGAACATTTCATAACAATATACTTTACAATCATTAATTGGGTGAATATCAATGTAATATTTATATTACTACTAGTAATAATAATAATCCAGACTTCAAATCAATGCATTATGAAATCATGAATATTCAATAAGTTAGAAAGATTAAAATCATATCTAAGTTTGTCAAATTTTCTGATATTTATGATTATTCATTAGTGTATATGCTATGCTGTCCATGTATTCATATTGTTACAAATTTTGTACATAGGTAGATGATTTTAATGCAGTTGTATGTGAAATTGTTGTATTTTTCTATGTAATGTAACTCAAAACAAATTTTAAGAGAAAGCTGTGCCAGAAAAGTAAGAATACAGGGGCAAGTGGCATTTAACATTGATTAAATGGGTATCTTGGTAATTTGGTGAGGTATCGTCAAGCTGACAAAGGTTTTGATGAGAAGTCGCCAAAAGGCAATTGACAGATTTGGTGACATTTTGGTCCGGTCCCCGTATCACTGTAATATGTATTGACATGAATAAATGTAATTGACCACTATGTTAGTAACCGTAATTCGACCCTCGTATTGCTTTCCGGTAATTTCGAGAAGCAGAAAAAAGTACTTGAAATAATCTCAGTGACCAGTTGAAAACTATATAAGGCAATAGAGAGAGTATCTACTTATTGTCATTGCAATTTGTTAGTTCTATGGGAATTGAGATATATCCGAGTTAGCTTTCTCTTTAGATGCACTTTGCATTACATTGTGTTTAACATAGTTTAGTAGTTTGAAGCGTAAATAGTAATTGTACTGTGTGCTATTGTGACACCTGTAAAATTATTTCTGCAAAAAATTCCAGAAATTCGAAGTGTTTATTTTGATAAAATAAATTTTCTTAACCTATCATCTGACCTGTGTGCATTAAATTTATTACGAACTCGTACGCACGCAATAATAGCAAGTGCATTTACCATGCTGTTGAAAAATAATTTTATTATCATTGTTTTGCTGTTAGCACAAAAACCTATAAGTATATTGTAAGTAATGTTTTATTTTAATATTTGATTTCTAATTATAGTAATACAAATGTGTACAGTGTTTAGTATTCTATAAGATAATTTTCATACAGAAAGATACAGGCATTATATTTGTTTGTTAAATTAGCAACATAACATATCAGCAATACATATATAAGTATAGGCCATCTGTAAACAATTGAAAATTTTCATTATTTGTGGATATAAAACAAAACTATAAAAAATGTAAGAAAATAATATCCTTCTAATTATTTTCTCTTTTAAAAATTATTTTCCTTTTCTTTTGTTTACATTATTATAAAAAACAGCATATAATACATTAATATCTAAGTTTTTGCAAAGACAAAACATATGTACCAATTTGCACTTGTTATTTTATGCCCTAAGCCGTATGTAATTCGGGAATGGGCTGTGTGTGCATTGTTAAAGGCTAGCTTTAATAAAGAATTATCAAAATATGCTGTCTACTAAAAACCCTATTTGAAATATATAATAATTATTGTATTTTATTTGATAAATACAGAAAACAAATAGATTTTTCGGTTTTTTTTAAATTTATAAATGCTTTCCACTTTGTACATTAAATTTTCTTCCATTTACCTTCTGTTTTATATTTTGCAGTGTAATAAAAAAAACCTTTGTTGCCGAAAATGACTATTCACATTGTTTCCAAGCCAAATGGAAGAGATAGTAAACCACAGACTATTCCAATTAGTGCTTCAAAAGTTTGTGATGATACAGGATTTTGTATAGTTGTTTACGGATGCCATAAAAAGCCAATTTTTGAAAAAGTGGTGAGTTAGTCTGGTATTTCTAAAAACTTCTCATTGCAGCATTTTTTAATTAAAAAAAATAAAAGAATTAGAAAAACTGATGATTACTTATAATATAAATAAAAATTATTTATTTGGATTTACATCAGTTTTAATTTATATATGTTTATATAAGAAAAAATAAAATTTGTTTCAATTTATTTTCCTTATAATAAATTCCTTGCAATTTCTAGTGAATTCCTAGCAATATGCTAATATACATGGTTTCTAATAAATTCCTAACAATATGCTAACAATTTAGAAATAAGAATGTAGCCTTATTTTCAAGAATATTTGAGATAAGATTGTTAATTGACTATAACAATGTGCATAAGAGCCTTTGTCTAATAAAAGCTGTACTTATAAGAAGAATAACATAGAATGCCTATGAGTAAAGGAAAATGATTATTTCTTTTGTGCACTTATTTTTTGCAGGGGGGGCACATGGAAAGCATAAAATCTCCATCCAGACTTTCTATTACATTACTAGGAATAGAGTTCAGGGAGAACTGCCAGTGTTAAATTAGTTTTATTCATTTTTCTTTTAGCAGAAAAACTTCAAGCATGGTATCAACTTTATATGTAAAATAATGGCTCTTAAATACACTCGTGCAAAATTAAGAGAATTTTCAAACTATGTCTATTTTTATGAAAAGTATTGAACAAAGGGTACTAATTATGCAAATTTTCAGAGTTAATTACATAAGATACACATGCGTGTCTACAGAGCCGTGATTATTGAGAGTATGTAAGCACATGAGGGGTTTTCGTCAGTTTGTGTGTTTGTACTCATTCACTGTTTCTGGCAAGAATTGAGTAAATTTCATAAAGTATCAGGTAAAATGAGTAGCCATAAATGCACATATTATGGAATCAGGTGGAGAATTATTTGTAGATTGGAGGCAGACCAGTCACAAGCACAGATGGGTACAGAGCTCAATGCAGTGCCCAGTGTTTATCTCCAGTTTGAGGAAACAGTTTCAGGACACTGGAACTATGAGGGCTGTAAATTAAGTAATAGCAACATAGGTATAAATCAATTTTTAATGAACTTACAAGTACAATTACATTACATTCCTTCTATGTAATCACCAGCAAAGCTTATAACCTTTTGCCAAATGTCGGGAAGCCATTGTAGACCAGTGGCAAGGTGTTGATTGTTGATGTGAGCGACCGAGTGCTCTACTACGTGATGAAACGTCATGAAATCGGTGACCTTGGAGCAGTTCCTTCAACTTCGGAAACAGATCAAAGTCACAAGGACTCATGCTGGGCGAGTAGGGAGGGTGTTCCAGGATTTCCTGCTGCCATCATCACAAAAGGAGAGTGACATTGTTTGCGACATGGCAGTGAGCGTTGTCATGCAATATGATAGGGAGATTGTTGTGCAATAAATGTGGACGTTTGCACTGCATAGCCGGACGCAGATGGTGCTGTAGAAATTGGCATGTAATCTGCGTTGACAGTTTGTCCTTCAGGTTACAGTATGTGTAAGAATGACACCGTCCCAGTCATATGCCATAATCATCATAACCTTCACCCGACTGGGTTCCTGTCGAAATTTCTGTGGACGTGGTGAATTTTGGTGATGCCATTCATTTGATTGACGCTTTAATTCAGACTCATAGTCTCGTGCCCATGTCTCATCAATGGCGACAATATGCTGCAAAAATGCGTCTCTTTCATTGCGGTATCTCTCCAAGTGGGTGCCAGCCAGTGCATACCGGTGCTATTTCTGTACTTCGGTTAGTCGATGTCAAACCCAGCGGGAAGCAATTTTCTTCATGTTGAGAGATTTCTTCATTATGCACCACACCCTTTGATGACTCAGACCAACCTCTAAGGATAATTCTCGGACAGTCCATCGGCGGTCTATGGTAAGGAGACTGCTCAGGATGTCAAGCTGCTCTTGAGGAATGGAGGGCCGACCTGTGCGTTGCAAATCCTCAGTCTCATTCCGACCCAAACAAAATGCTTGAACCCATCGTGCTACTGTTCTATATGGTAAAGCGTTTGTGCCACAGGCTTCCTCTAATCCTCAATAGCATTCTGTTGCATTTTTGCCACGGGCAACCTCGATTTTAAGCCATGATCACTGATCACCTTTTGAAAACATGCTTTAGAGCGATTGAAACAAAACTCCTCACTTTAACGCCACACAACAACTACCCTTCTAAGCAGATTGACTGTTTTTTGCACTGTACACATTGACAACAGCGCCAGCTCAACGCTCCCATATCCTATTTGCACATGCCCGCCCTTCTGCGAGTTTCAAGGTTAAGTTGCCACTATTTAATTTACAACCCATATATATCAAAAAGACCTTGACAAGATCACAAAGATTCACAACGACGAATGAGAATCATTATTTGACACTTTCAGTGCAGTGACACAGGACTGCTACAGCTTCTCATCTCTCATGTGAGTTGCATGCTACTACTAGAACCTGAATTTCATTTGTGAGATAGGGCTGTATGCCATTAAACCTGCTATTTGCATCCGGCTCACAGCACACAACAGAACATGTTTAGCATGGTACAGACAACATGCACCTTGAACCAGACATCTCTGAAGTGCCATGCTTTTTACACAAGAGAAGATTCAGCCTGGACATTGATATTCTCAACATACCTGTATCTGCATGATACTATCCCTCTTGCATCAGGGGAAAGGATCATTATGGTGGAGGTATAATGCTTTCTGTAGGCATTATGTTGGATGACCGCACACTCCTGCACATGTTTGACAAAGGTTTTCCGACTGCAATGAGGTATAGAGAGGCGATCTTAGAGTCTTATGTTTGGCTTTTGAAGGATACAGCTTGTCTTGGATTCCTGTTAATGGATGAGAGTTCTCATCCACATAGTGCTGAACTCCTCAATGATTACCCAGAGAGTGAGGATATTCGCCGCATAGATTGGCCAGCCAGATCTCCTCACTGTAACTCCATATAGCATGTCTGTTTCCCCCCCCATGAGAGAGCAATTTTATCTTACCATGCAAATTGCCTTCCTACAGATGTAGGATCGACTCGTATAAGGATCCTCAACTGCCTGCTGTCTAGTATGCCATCATGCTGTGTGATCTGTCTGCCTGTGAGAGGGAACCATAACTTATATTAAGTTATTTTTTACTTCAATATCATAAAGTAGATTTTGGAGATCCTTACACTATGAACTTGACTGATCATCATATGTACATAAAATGACTTTAGAATGGTACAGCTGTTTGCTATAAATGTATTTATGTATTAATGCAACCACTTATGTGCAATTTAGCAACTTTTTACAGATGGAAAGGTAAAAGTTACTTATCGGGTGCAAGTTGGTGGTTTTCACACCTTTTTTTAAATAGAAAGATTCCCAAACTATCTATATTTATTATAAATCAGTAAACATTATTATATGAAAAGAAAACATAATTTAACAATTTAAAATACAAATTTGAATTATTAAATGAGGATTACATAATACATTAAAAATAAATCATTTAAACTCTTCTTCAAATCTTTCTGTAATTTTTTTGTGCTATTCTTTATTCTTGTTAAAGTACACAGCAATCTGTTTCTGCTGAAAAAAAAAATCAGAGAACTACAGACTCAGCTTCGTGCAAACTTTGGCAACAGCGGCTATCTAGGAAACATTTCCACGTTGTTCTCTTTCGAAAATTTTCACTTTTGTATACTTTCCAAAATTTTACCATAGTTTCTTTCTTTGCTGGCGAATTCCACAAGCTTATGTTTTAAAACTAAGGCAAAAAATATCACAGTTTGTTTATAAAAACCATTGGAATTTGGAATACAGTCAAAAGTCGTTAATTCGGACACCCATAATCCGGACCTCAAAGCTAGATGCATGCGCAGAAGATCTTTACGGCTGCGAATATACGAAATACGTTTACGAATGCGCGTTTAATGTATAACGGACGGTATAAGCTAAGCTAAAATTATCTAATTCAGTTAATGTTGCAGATTGCATTGTTCCTTAATCTTCGAATTGGATTCGGCTTATTATTTTTTGCAGATTGTTAGAGCAATTTTATAAAAGTAAGCTTGAACTTTCGATTATGTCAAATAGAATTTCTGATATATATTTTACTAATATGTAAAGGATCTACAAAGCGAAAGTATGTTTCGAAGTCCATTAAACAAAAAATGGGTAAAGGCATATCCTTTGTTTATCTAAACTTTGTTTATCTTTAACGCCGTGGTGCGCAATGAATTGGAAGTTGATTTTTTTATTTTGTGAGGTATTAAAATTTATAATATATATGATCTGTCAGCACTATCCTTATCTTCAGGGCAGATGTTTTTATTTTATTTGGCTTATAATTCCTTACTAAATGTAGTATTTCATCTCGATGTACTCCGTCTTTGATATGATTTAAATCAAATTCCTCGTCATTATAATTCGCTTCCGATAGCAAAGAAAGTGACAGGTTATTGAAAACGAAAAAGTTTCGATTGACAAATTAGTCAGTATTCTCGACACAGCAATTATAGGACCTTGAACAGCGGAACTTTGTAACTGAACAAGAAATTATGTCTGTTTATAGAATTAACCCTTTAACTGTCAAGTTATTTTGATGATTTGGGTACACAAATTGTCAAATTTTTTTATTGGAAAAACCAAATGTAGCCGAAATAAACATCTCCCGATATATATTCGGGTATGACAATACGATGCACTCAAAAAAAAAAAAAACAAAATTACCCCGAGAAATACTCGGGCGTGACATTTTCGAACACCAGTGTCTCGGGCATGACAGTTAAAAGGTTAAAGAGAATGTATTATCACATAAAAAACGAAGCAACTTAAACAACTTACATTGAAAGAAATGTTTAATAAAGTAAATAAATAAATATTAAGCTTTTTTTTTTTTTTTTTTTTTTTTTTGTAAATTTTGATACCCTTTAGATCATAATTGTTCTTTATTTCATAAATTACGGTTTCATATTTTTAATTTTATAATTTCTGCATGCCATCTTACCAGGTTTAAACTGATGATCTATAATCCGGAAAAATCGATAATCCGGAATCGCCGAAGTCCCGACGAGTCCGGATTAACGACTTTTGACTGTTCAACAAAAAAGAAAGTTGCACAAAAATGTCGGCATTGCTTATTGCAGGATTTTTATGAACATATTTGTTGAAAGAATTGTTATGTGCATGGTTGCCAGAGTTTAGATCATTCTGAAAATTTGGTAACTTCTACTAAGGTGGTTTTGTTAATATGTAAGTACCTAAATGTATATTCATACCAAATTTCATTAAAATCTATTCATTCATTTTTCAGAAATTCCACATAATGCACAAATTCTCTTAATTCTGTGCACAAGTGTCTGACTCAAATTTGGTATACCTTAGGTTTAGCTGTTTGATAAATATTATATTTTCTTTTATATCTTGTGTGTGGATATTACTGCATGGGATAACAAAATTGAATGCTTTCATAAAAATAATTGAAAAATATCTTTGAGTGTTTGCATAGTGATTAATTCATCTTTAAATTATTCGTAATTATGAGAGTAAATCTTAGAAATGTTTGTCTTTTGTGAATTTTACATTTGTGTATAATCTTGAAGCAAAAATGCGATTGTTAATATGAATTTCTTTTAAAAGTTTTGTTTTTATATTTTCAGAATATATCAGAATGCCCTAAAAATTTAACTTTACTTAGAAATAAATGTTCTTGCTGCAGTGATTGCTCAGAAAAGAGGAATTTAGAGGTAAATACCTAAAATTTTACATACACAAAATAAAAGACCTTATTTTTTTTTATTTTGTGAGGTATTAAAATTTATAATATATTTTTTTGTAGATTAACTTTGTTGATGCTTTTGTTTTCCTGCTTATTTTTTCCATCATATCCTAAGAATTTTTAAAATCTGTATTTTTAAAAATTCAGTCTTTATAACTTTGTGATTAAAATTGTTGGTGATTATGATTTTCTACATCAAGGGTTTAGATACTGTATACATACTTGTGTAAATTTCTGTAACAACTGTAAGAACACAGTTATGATGTGTATAGAGGAAAAGAAATATAGATGTAAAATTTGTTATGATACTGTATTAAATTAGTGACTGTAGTCTTCCAGTAATTCCCTTTTTTGACAACAAAGAAAATTATCTGCTTTGAAAGATGCATGAGTATAGTTTTAATTTAGTGACCTGTGGAATAGTTATACTATTTGTGCACTTTTATTTCAAAAATATGACATATAGTTTCAACTAAATGTATTTTTATGCATAATTTATTCTATATATGAAGTAATATATTTGGAAGATAATATATATTTTTGTGGCATGTTTATATAAAAATGTTTTTTATTAGGTCTGCAGTTTAATAGAAAATGGCTTCAAAAGTAAAGATGTTTCATCTTTAAATGGTTCATTTAAGTCCAAGAAACAAAAACCTCTTGATTCTGAAAAGAAGTACACTCATGTTACAGAAAATGAATACACAGAACAGACAGAGGCTTTAAAAACAAAGCCTAAGCTTATCCTTAATGAGGCTAGGTTACCGAATTTACCATCAAACATGAAGAAGAGGTTAAAAATAGCTGAAGATGAGGTTAGTAAGTCAAAATAATGTATGAAAGACATGTAATGTTAATAAAGATCTTTAATTTGAGAAAGTATTTAAAGATTTTCTTACTTGCATATTATCCTATTGACTGTTAAAGTTGGCTACCATCAAACCATAAAAGTTGATGGAGATCACGCCAGAGTTGCACCAATCATTCCTGCAGAACTCGGAAGAAACTGATGCACCTTTATTTAATAAACAACCAATAATTTTTTTGGTGCTTTGTAAAAGGCTTTCATCAATTTCTACTATTTTGTTAGAACCTCCAATTTTACTGGAGGGTCTATAAGTACAAATTTCCAGCAAGTAATTTTTATAGTCTGTTACTGTTTTGTCAGCCATATTCAGCTGACCATATCATTTTTATTAATACACATGTTTTTTGTGGTAGAATCCCACAACTTTGAAAATAATCTACTGCTTGCTGCTTTGTAATAGGCAGATTACAAATGTTAGTTAGGAAAAAATACAGATTTTACAGTTTATCTAAAACTTTGTTCATAAAAAACAAAACATGGCTTATCAAGAATCAATTGGGGTTACATCAAACAAAATCACAGATATTATAAGTGTATTGTTAAGCCACACCTATCTGTAACTGATGCTAAATTGTGCTCTTTTTTGCCAGTTTCATGGTCGACAGGATAATGCATAAGTACCAAAGTTTTTGTTTCATGCATAATTAAACATCAAAATTGGTGAGGTTCATTAGTAAACCATTATGCATCATTTGTTTATATGTAAATATGTTTGGTAGTTTCTGATTATCCACACTTCTGATTTTAATATACAGTAGAACTGTCATATTTTAGCATATATTTGAATTTGCATGTGACAATAGCTAGCCATACATAGGCATGCCACACATATATTGTGTTTAAATATAAAGGAATTAATAAACATTAACTGTCATTTTGCTAAGTAGTTAACATCAGCTGTAGAAATGTATATATCAGCCATATAGTTTTTCTTCCCTCTTTAATATTTATAATCTTTAATTTATAATTATTTATACACTTTAATCTTATATAATTTCTCTTGTTTTTCTCTTTTTATATCATTTATGAACAAAACATAATCTATGAGCTATAAAATTCACCAAACAAAAGTTTTTCACCAATTTACCAAGTTGCCAAAGTGTTGGCTTAAGATTGTGGATAATCAGAAAGTACTTATGTTTTAACTAAGTTGTTTGATTAGTGATTATTAGGTTCTTTTGTAAGCTATAAATGTATTCAAATTCATTAATTTATTGCTATGTTGCAGAATATAGGAAAGGAGGGTAAGGGTACGCACCTAATGGATTTTTCAGTATGAAAGTAAAACATGTAATGACAGACCTTCAAAAAAATAAGGATCATAGTTTATTAACTATGAAACAACAACAAAAAAAAAAAAAAAAAGTGGAAATTATGACTTCATGAGAATATGTATCAAAATGAATTAGGAACAAAATGCATGGTGAAGATGAGGCCAAGTTACTCTTGGCACCCGAAAAAGCTAGCAGCAGCAACATATATATGCTCTAGTGATTCCTTATGCAACCATTGCTTACATATGCCACACTGAATCCAATCTTTGTCATATGATTGTTCACAAGCTGGACAGATTGTATCATCATCTGTTTGAACAAACAAGATTGTTCAAACTTGTTTGAACAGTATTCAAAACAACTTTGCTTTTAGGCTTTTCCTTTCTTTGAGTTTGTCTCTATTTTCATTTTTCTTACGATCCCAATTGCCTTTTACCTCATTCTTTATTTTTCATTTTTTTCTGATAAATTTTTGTTTGGGGATGGAATCAGGATCTCAAATTTTTGAGTTACTCTTTTCCTTTTATCTCTTCTTTCGTATTGTTGAAAAGTGACGTGATTGACTGTATACTGACATCTGTCTCTGAAGTTGAGATTTCATTTCCTCCAGGAGCGACTGAAACTGAGCAATCATTATCCAAAGGCATAGCCCATAACCAATGAAGAAGAGTAGTGATATAACAATTGATTTAACATGCACATGCTCTTAGTCACTTTATAATTTAATAAAAATTTTGACATTGGGAGAAATGTTTTAGCATTGTAAGTGTAAATTTTATACTTTTTACTAATTAATAATTATGATATCATAACTTAGGAAATAACATTAATAACTTAGTAAATAGTTTAATTAACTGAATTTTTTTCCTGCTCGTATTTGCATCATAAACCTTCCAGTGTTACACTAAATGATGCTTTATAAATGGAAGTCTGATAGGATAGCACTCAGAAGGGAAATAGTGGCAGAAGTTAAAGATTAGAGACTGGCGAGATCAGAAGAAAGGTGTCAATGATTTAGGAATAAATGAGTGCACTGTAAGAAAAAGACTTAAAGCTATAAATAATTTTGTTAACAGAGAGTTAATATTAATTTAAGTCAAACAACAAAAATCAGCGTTATATTTTCAAATTTTCACAGGACTAGTTTTGATGGTTTTATCGAACTATCATCCTCCAGCTGCAAAAGCGCAAATGTACGAGATAAGATATAATGATTAGATAAGATAAAGTCTGGACAAGAGACAAGCTAATGGCACTATCTGTTGATGAAACCAAAACTGAAACATAATTTCTTTAACCCTCTGAGTGGCCAGGGTTCTTGCTAAGAAAGCACAAATTTCCCAAAACTACTGTGAGAACATTTTTTTTTTTTTTTTTTTTTATTTTTAATGTAAAAACTCTCTTAGTATTACATACCTCAATTTGTGTACTTTTGATATATTGCCTTAATATCTTTGACATATTTTAATATGCACGTATATATATGTTCTTACAGATATCACAAAAAATATTCTATATATATATATGTATGTATATATATATACGGCCTTGCCGCTCAGAGGGTTAAAGGCTGAAGGCAAAGATAGATTGGAATTAGGGTCGTCAACTAGAACAGAATTTTTTTGAATGTGAAATGCCTTTAGAAAATCCAGTTCACCAATGAAAAATTTTTTTGAATAATTTTGGCAGCAGAAAAATTGAAAGTGTGATTTTCAGACCAACAATGTTGGGCAACAGAAGACTTCTATGTTTCCTTTTTTCTAACATATGCCTCATGTTCCTTAATGCGAAATTTTAAGGCTCTCTTAGTTTGGCCAATGTAAATTAAACCACACTAGCAAGGAATCCTTTAAATACCCCAGGATTTCATATCTGGAATGGGGTCCTTGAGTATGGAACTCGGAATTATATTGATGGGAGGATAAATGACCCGAAAGTTAAATTTCTGCAAAATACATGCAACATTATAGCTAATTGATGGAAAGAAGGGAATGACAACAGAATTTTTATAACCTCCTAAAACAAGAGTGTGCCTTTTGGTGTTGAGATGAGAATTTTTTAACTGCTTGATTAATAATGTAGGGTGAAAACCCCCTGTCAATAGGTATTACTTTTAAGTAATTTAGTTCTTCATCAAAGGGTAGTTTGTAGGACAAACTTGAAGAGCATGGAAAACATAGAAGTAAAATGAAGCTAACTTTTGTTTAGTCGGATGACATAATCTGAAGTATGGTAGAAGGCAAACCAATGAAGGTTTACGGTAAACTGTAGTACTGAAGTTGAGTGTGTTATTTGTACCGTTTGTTGTTTGACTTCTAAATTAATATTTGTTCGACATGTTATTGTATCTTAATTAGAGAGTTAATATGTCAGAGGTATATGGGTCAGTAACTGCAATGTGGAATGTTTTTCCTGTGAGTTGAATCCTGGCCATAGCACAGTAGAATTTTTGTAAAATCTCTGCAATTTCTTACAGCCTTATTACTTTTCCTAAATTTTGTATGAGTCACTTTTGAGCTTCATATGAATAGGTAACTTTCAGAGAGGTGAAGAAACATCTATTTAATGGCTGTAGCACATGATTTGCATGTGGTGAAAGACTTGAAGAGCATGGAAGTTATAGTATTCTCTGGACAAAAACTAACTGCAGCTAGTGAACAATGTGATGAAGGATTACCTGTTATTAACAGAACAAGATCTTCTGCACTTGATTTCACATGCTCAACAAAATGTTTCAACCAGCCATTGAATAAGTCGAAATTCATATAACCAGTGTCACTAATCATCGGTAGAGTCCCACTGGTGTATCTTTGTACAAAAGTTGGTTCATTCCTTTTCTTGAGAAAATTGTGTAGGCAGAATAAAAACTTCTATAGCACTCATACAGCATACAGTAGTAATTGTTTGGCCCCTCTTTGCAAAAGAAATTGTACATACAATATTTTTGCTCTTTGATGTTCTATTTGGGACAGTTGAGATTTCAGTCTCATCCATGTTGAATTTCCTATGAGCAGGAAACTTTTTATCAACACAACAATGCTTCAGATTGTTATAAAATCATGTCACTTGCACTGTTAAAACCCATTGTTCCTGTCACACTGCACTGTTCTGGATTTTGGATGGTCAGTTTACACCTCATACAAAACAATTTTAACCAATCTTTACCAGCTGTTTTCATTTTGTTATTAAATCTAGATGAACCTCCATTCATATCAGCATACTTTCATCAGGTGCTTATGGGTCAAGCCATTAAATCTATCTAAGTCTGTACAATGTTGAGCAAGTTCTCTTTTGATTTCATCTGTCAAAGCTCTTAAATCATCCAGGTGAAGTTGGAACTGTCGGAAAAACAATCATAGGTAATTAGAATAAAAAATGTAATTGTCACATCAAAGTCTAAAAGTGAAACTTGTGTATTTAAGTCTGAAATAAGAAAATCAACATTACAAATAAACATATCTTAAAACAAAATTATGTATAGCTTTAAGTCTTTTTTTCTTAAAATGTACTCATTTATTCCTAAATCATTGACATCTTTCGTTTGAGCAAAATGATCTTTAACTTCTGCCACCATTTCACTTATGAGTGCTGTCCTATCAGACTTTCACTTATAAAGCATCATTTAGTGTAACACTGGAAGGTTTATGGTGCAAATATAAAGCAGGGAAAAAAT